AAAAAAAAACACCTGCTTGTACTTTGGCTTAACACCTTCTAGAGGAGAAACAGATCTGTAAAAAAAAAAAAAACTGTTGTCTTTGGCTAAACCTGTTAGAGGAGAAACAGATCCAAAAAAAACACCTGTTGTCTTTGGCTTAACCTGTTAGAGGAGAAACAGATCCATAAAACACCTGTTGTCTTGGCTTAAACACCTGTTAGAGGGAACAGACTGAAAAAAAAAAAAAAACCTGTGTCTTTGGCTTAACACCTGTTAGAGGAGAAACAGATCCATAAAAAAACACCTGTGTCTTTGGCTTAACACTGTTAGAGGAGAAACAGATCATAAAAAAAACACCTGTTGTCTTTGGCTAACACCTGTTAAGGGGAAACAGATCGTAAAAAAACACCTGTTGTCTTTGCTTAACAACCTGTTAAAGGGGAAACAGTATCTATAAAAAAAAAAACACTGTTGTCTTTGGCTTAACACCTGTTAGAGGGAAACAGATCTGTAAAAAAATCACCTGTTTCTTTGGCTTACACACCTGTTAGAGGGAAACAGATCGTTAAAAAAAAAACGACCTGTTGTGCTTTGAGGCTTTAACAGAACCCTGTTAGAGAGGGGGAAACAGATCCATACAAAAACACCGTGTTGTACTTTGGCACTTGACACCTTTAGGAGGGAAACGAGATCTGTAAAAAAAAAACCTGATTCGTGCCTTTGGCTTGCACACCTGTTAGAGGAGAAATAATCTGTAAAAAAAACACCTGTTAGTCTTTTGGGCTTGAGACACCTTTAACGGGAAACAGAGTTGTTAAAAAATAACACCTGTTGTCTTTGCTGTCTAACATTTTGTTGCAGGGGGAAACAGATCTAAAAAAAAAAACACCTGTTGCTTTGGCTTAAAAACCTGTCAAAGGAGAACACCTGTTGTCTTTGGCTTAACACCTGTTGGAGGGGTATGCAGCGGTTGAACATCTGTTTCGACTTCCCTTATATCATATAGAATGGCATTATAAGGCAAGATTGTTTTGGCGGACATCTGTTAAAGGAACAGATGCCGGCTCAAACTTTCCGTTTCCCGAACACCTGTTAAGGGAGAGGGAACAAGGCGTTGGGGTACCTGTTGGGGATAACCAGGAACACCTGTTAAAGGAAAGTTGGCGGATAGTGGGTATATACACCTGTTAATGAAAAAGAACATGAAACAGGTGTTATATCAAAATTGTTTGACAAACCGGATGCAGGGAGATAGCTGTTTAGGAATTGCCAAGGTACGTGCTAATACCTGTTGAAACTTGATAATTTATAGAACAACACCTGTTTAAAAAGGAAGACCCTATACAGCTAACACTGTTAACAAAAGAGCGGTTTAAAAACGATTTTCTGCCGCGACAAACAAATGTAACAAAAAACCTATTCATGGAAGAGCAAATCCGAGACAACACCTTGATGTACAAAAGGAATAGTCATAAGATACGCAACAACACCTGCAAAAGGCTGTGGATCACCTGTTCGAATAACGGAAATGTCCTAAGCACCTGTTAGAATAATAGAAATATCCCAAGGACCTGTTGATGGCGTGTAGATCACCTGTTAGTAACATCCTAATCACCTGTTAGATTAGCGGAAACATCCCAACTACCTGTTGACCTGTTACGCTTAGCGAAACACCTGTTGAACGGTACCTGTTGAGTGAAATGTAAACACCTGTCATAAAGAGAAATTAACAACAACAAATTGCATCTGTGGAAAACTATTCCGATTGAAAAAAAAATAAACAAATCAAATAAATAAACAAACAAACAATTAGAAACAAAAGGATAAAAGACAAATATATATCAGGAACTTAGATAATATTGGGTGTGTGGGGAAATTATGCAAATGTGACATCTATGAAAGTATATTTTTTTTTACAGCACGAAAATATTTGTTAAGAAAAATAATAATAAAAAATAAACATGTTATTAGGTTATAGGTGACTGAAAAGATGACTAATCACGTACCATTAATTAAGAATTATCATATAATTTTAAATTGCAAATATGAGTAAGCAAAGAATATCTTATTCTATCAAAAACTGACAAAAAAACATCAATGTACGAAGTTTAGTGTAATTCCGTCAAAACCAGTCAAAAAAACAATTCCAGAAAAAAACAAGATTTTGAACAAACATCCCAGATATGGAAGATGATGACGTATCATACGCAGAGCGCTTCTTTGCAATGGCAAGATCTCGGGTTTGCGCCTTGCCAAATACCCCCCCCCCTCCCTGGCGACTCAGCTGTGAGTGAGTACCGGCATCACCTGGGGTGTAAGTTTTATATATATATATATATATATATATATATATATATATAATATATATATATAATAGTAATATATGTGTGTGTGTGTGTGTGTGTGTGTTGTGTGTGTGTGTGTGTGTGTGTGGTTGTGTATTACATAATATAGTCATATATATATATATATATATATATATATATATAATATATATATATATAATATGTTATATATATACATATCTTATATATTATAAATATATATATATATATAATATATATATATCTATATATATATATATATATGTATGTAGTATGTATGTATATATATATATATATAATATATATATATTATATCATATAATATATATATATATTAAATATATATATTACATACACACACACACACACACACATATATATATATTTATATAAATATATATATATATATATAATAATATAATATAATTATATATATATATAGAAAGACAAGCGCGCGCGTGACCCACACACATCTTATACACTAAAAAAAAAAAATCCTTTGGCCTCACTTATAGAGCGCGAGGAGGTGGTTGTACTGGTCGATGGGGAGGTTGATGATGGTCCCTCCGGAGGGCGGTCTCCTCCTCCTTCAGCTGGTCCTGCAGCCGCTCCTGCTTCGGCCTTCGCCCGCGCCTCCTCCCGCCGGGTCGTCTCTTCCTCCTCCGCCAGTTGCTCTCGCGGGTCTCTGCCTGGGGGGGAGGAGGAGGAGTGGGGAGGAGGTGAGATGGAGGTGGTGGGTGGGGGGGTGGGGGTGGGGGTGGGGGTGTGTGTGTGTGTGTGTGTGTGGTGTGTGTGTGTTGTGTTGTGTGTGTGGTGTGTGTGTGTGTGTGTGTGTGTGAGGGAGATCCAGCTTCCACGTGG